CAGATATGTAGTGTGGCTTGCAGGAAATTCCACCTAGAGATTTCTGTTTGAAAAAATTGCTTTATTTTCTGCCCACAATTTTAATCAACAAAACTTTTGAGTTTTGGTAATTGTGATGCCCTTTAGCTACTTTTGATGTGGTTAGGGTTGTAACAAGCATGGTCGTAATTTTTAGATAAGCTGTATAACTTGCTTCTAACTGAACTTGGATATATATCCATCCGATTAGGACTTTAGAGTTGCTTATTAAATTATTATTTTTTAGTTTTACATTTTCATGTTTTTTAATAAGTGTACCTCCGGCGGCCAGATGTGGGGGGTGGGGCGGGGAGCCTGCCTGCCTGCCTCTCTCGTGGCTGGAGGGTGAGCTGCAGGGGGCACTGGTGCTTCCCTCCATGGCAGCGGTGTTCCTTGGGGCTGCCCGGTCAGAGTGCCAGCGGGTGGGTGCTGCCTGGGGGGCACCACCTCTTCAGAGGAAAGCACTGGGGTCCTCTGCAGCTCAGGGGCTGTGTGATGCTGTTACAATATTCAGTCAAAGGATAACTAAAAATCCTGTATTCGGTCAAAGGATAACTAAAAATCCTGTATTTAAATAAATACTTTTGCCATAAAAATGTAATTGCAAATGTTTTGCAGGATTCAGCTAGTTATTTGCGTAATACGCTGTTTTAGAACGTCCCAATGCTTACCACGATGCAAAGACAATGTGACAATCACTGCAACCATAGATCATGTGATTGAGAGTTACTGTCTGCTTGTGAGGTGATAGGTTTACAGAAATTCTCAAATATTCCACATGTAAGCCTCTTTATTTATTTAAAAAAAAAGAAAAAAGAAAAAAGGCAAATTCTGGGCTCCGGTCAACCAACTCCCAATCCTGAAGTTCTCTTTTCTTGGGAAAGGTGATCAAGAAGGTGGTTACATAACTCCAGATCTCATTCATCCCCCAGTCCTTGACCTCATTCAGTCATTCAGTAGGATTGCAGACTGGCAGCTTGTCTGGAAGTGATGTACATGGAAGTTGCTGATTATCATAATGCACCAGCCAGAGACTAGATCTCTTTCCTGTTATTCTTTGATTTGTTATCAGACCCTCACGGGGGGTTGCTGGCACAGCTTTGTAAGTTAGAAAAGCGAAAAGTAATGGCTCTAGGTTAGCTTGGATCAGTACTGTCTAATAATTCCCAGGAAATGCTGATGGGTAGGAACCTGCCAAATTTGTGGTAGAAGTGGGCTGTGCAGCAACTCCTTTAATCTTGCAGGTTCCTCCACATGTGCCCCCCAGCTGCAGATTGGCAGAGGGGCCTTGCCGCTTGCTCCTGATCGGTGGGAAGACAAAAACTGTGGTTTGAAATATGGTACCATTTTTGCCTCCTGGCCGGTCAAGGAGGCAATGTCCTGTTGGGGGGAGGGGAGGGTGTGCAATAATGGTGTCATATTTAAAATGGCTGTTTTCGCCTCCCCACTGTTCAGGAGTGAGCGGCGGGGCCCCTCTGCCAATCAGCTTGCATGTGAGGGAGCCTGCAAGATTAGAGGAGCTGCCACACAGCCCATTTCCACCACAAATTTAGCAGGTCCCTACTGGTGGGTGGTTCTTCTCTCTGGAGTTTTGTAGGACACCAGTCTCTGTTTCGTCTTCTATGTAACATCTATGCAAAACCTCCAGGACTAGGATGTGGGTACAAGCTGCAGTATTAGCACAGCACTGCTGATATCTATCTGCCTTCTCTGGCTCTGAGACGACTCACGAAATGTATGAAAGAATTTTGTGACCTGGAATAAAGCCAGGTGTCTATGGGCCTTGTTCCATGTTAGTTTTAGGAGCCTCCTGGAGCTCTTAGCCCCTGGATTGTCCACACATTAACACATGAAACTAATTTTAAGAACTCTTTAGGCAGCTTAAAGTGAGACCACCCCAAGCTAGGTTTATCTTTGATCTGTGATACCTAGCTCCTGTCACACTAACGTAGGCACTCTAGGCTACACATTAGCGTAAACACTCCACCCACCCCCCTCTCTGCCCTGGCCCAGATTGGGCCCATTGCTTCCTCTGCTCCCCTCCAATTGGGCAGCCACCCCCCAACCCCATCCCCATCAACTCAGATCGGGCCTGCTCCTGCAGCACCCCAGATCCCTGCTTAACCCCTCCAGCCCCTGGGCTTACTTTTGGCTGCTGGCACTGTCCCAGGGAGCAGGCATGAAAGGGGAACCGGCTTGCCTGGGTGCTGCCACAGCTCTCTAGGTAGGACTCAGCTCAGGGAAGAGTAACAGTGGTAGTGGCTAGGCAGACGGGTTCCGCTTCCCTTCCTGCTCCCTGAGACAGTGCTTGCAGGCAAAAGTAAGCTGCTGATGTTGGGGGGAGCCCTGGTGGTGAGTGGGGGGGGAACCCTGAAGGGCTGGGGGGAAGCCTGGAATAGGTGGGGAAGGAAAAGTATTCTTAGTTTTCAGTCCTCAAGGCTCCTGCTGGCCTGAACATTAGGCTGCTCCAAACTAGAGCTAGCACTAACATCAATCAACATTTGAGCATTTCAAAGTGCAGCATATAACCAGGCCCTATAACTCAGCTTAGTCAAGACACCAGTTCTTCTGTATAAGAAGTACACTGAAAATCTAGTGAAATCTGTAATTGTCTCAGAAGCACTGCATGTGCAAAGAAATTCCAGACTCCATTGAACTTTGTTTTGTCAGAATTGTATTTTACTACAGAATAGGGGTCATGCGTATGTTTTTACAGAGGTCTTCACTGACTTCTTGCTAAGGTTATGGCAATGAAAAATAATGGAAGTGTAGTTCCTTGTGACTTGCATCTTGTACTCAAAACTTAAAAGATTCAGTCTCTTTATTGGCTTTCATGAGCTTGCCTCATTAGTTATTTGAGGAAAAGTAAAGCTAAATCTGTTTTATCCTACAATGTTTCTGTTTTGTTTCTACTGCCCCTCCCTCCTTGCATTTATCTCCAGACTCCTCGTCCTTGCCCAGATCTACTCCACTCCCAACAATCCTCCTATTCCTTTAAATTCTTGAAACTTCATAGTTTTAGAGAGAGGTAAGGGCTTGACTCTGTACATAAACTTGCAGAGAGACAATAAGACTCATAGGTAGGTAATCAAGTCTTTTCTCTCTCATCTTGATATACTGCCATTAACAAGGGTGTTATCTGGATACACACATCCACAGTTTGAGCGCTGAAACTAAGCATCACAGAGATGCTTAATGGGATCTTCTAGACTGAGCAACTGAGTTCCATTGGGTAGAGTGGTTTTCTTTAATCTTTACTAATCTATAGAGGAGCCTCTGGGAATCCCATAAGATTGGGTCCCTATCATAGTCTGTGGCCTGTTGTGACCTATTTATAAAACTTTTCTAAAAAGGTTACATGAATATATTGTCTTGTAATATATCATTAGAAGTTATAATTCCTATTCCATGATGATATCTTTGAGCTCTAACATATCTTAAATTAAAACTACCTTTATATAGGTTTTTTTTTTTAAAGTATCTTAACAAAAAATACAAAACTATAATTAAATTTAAAAAAATCTGATTAATTTTTTTTTAGGAAAAAAACATTGGTTTTTATCTACCCTGCGTTAGTTAGCAAATCCCTGTTATCTCCAGTTTTCTTTAATCTGATGATTACTATGCCCTGATGATAAACAATTGGTCAAATGCTGTCCTCGTGCATTAATGCATGTCAAGTTCAAGAAATTTGGAATGTATATAAAAGAATACGCAACTTGCACCGAGAGAGGAAAGTATAGATGTAATTGATTTTTTTTGTGGATTATTAACAGTATACATTGCAAACTTGCGTGGAATATTATTCTGTTTCTAGTTTAACAAATGAATAAGATAAACGTGTACATTTTGTAGTCTTCTTTGAAGATCATTTGGCTAATTCATGCTGATGCAAAGCATTTTCTTAATAAAGACTTAGGAGCTGGAATGGGAGAAGCTTTGCAGTTGCCTGGTGTCTTAAATGTAATAAAAATCAAGATTCCTTTCAAAGAATTGTCCATCGCTGTTGGCCCCTGTGTACACGAAAACAAAATAAACCGAATTTTCTACCTGTTCTGTTGATAGACTAGTAGAGTATCTGCCCATCATTCTAAGTAAGATGAAACTGTTCAAACAGATATCGAATAGTGCCTTTTAGTCTACTTTTACTTAATGTAGTTTTGCTAAGCCACTCATCCAGGAAGACCAGCAAGAGAAAGAAAAGCAGCAATTACACTTTCTACATTACCACCCAAGAATACTTCCCAGCACTGGGGAAAATAACGGGTGGTTATATAGACACCAGATAGCATACAGTAAATGGCAACGTATCCCACTGCTTTTGTGGGCTTCTGTAGCTGAAAACTTCACTGGCTACTGGCAAAATTACAACTGATTCTTATTACAGAAACTGTCAGCGTGGAAATAATGAATGAACTCTGTGGAAATGTTTGAAAAACAGAATCGGTAGATTTATTTTTATGGGATTTTAGTATGGCACTACATTTTTTGTGAAATATTAAGATTAATTCATCATTTAAAACTGTAATATTTCTGACTGCTCTTCCTTACTTAGTGTGTCTAAGGGGTCTACAAAAGATGAGTATGATCAATCAAAAGTGTGTGAATTCCCACACTTACAATTCAGAGGGGTCTGCACCTCTATTTGAAATTTCCAGAGGGGTCTGCAAATGAAAAAAGGTTGAAACCCACTGAGATATTTTATGTGCATGAATTTATATTCTTCTTTAAGTCTTGGCTTCTTTTGATTAAATCTTACTTTTTAGTAGCAGGTGAATAAATAATACTGTTAAAATTCAGTATCCAGGATATGAACTGTTAAATATTAGGGCTATTCCTACTGCAGTGTTGTTGATAATTTGAGCAGTGTTTTATGAAAACTGTACGGATACTGCTTTCCTTTGAAAGTGCACTTCAAAAGGAATTAGTGTTTCATGTAAAAAGATAACAGACTTACGAAGACTTCTTTTCTTGTTCCATAGACGTTCCATCTTCAGAGCAGCCTGAACTGTTCCTAAAGAAACTTCAACAGTGCTGTGTCATTTTTGACTTCATGGACACACTATCAGACCTTAAAATGAAAGAATACAAGCGCTCCACTCTTAATGAACTGGTGGACTACATCACAATAAGCAGAGGCTGTTTGACAGAGCAGACTTACCCTGAAGTAGTTAGAATGGTGAGTTTTTTCCTTATCGTGGACTCTGTAGAGACATGTGCAATTCCAGTTTGATGTTGGGGAATGACTAAGTCCTGGAGTAAATGCATTAAGTGTGTCCTTTGGTTTAGTAGACATAACCAGCATATAATTTTTCAAAAATAATTAAAGCTCAAATTTTCACTTGTACTTGAACAAACATCAAAAGGGCCAGCAGTGTAAAAAAAAAAGCATGTGGAAGGTAAATCTGGAATATTTCAAGTTGCTTCTACTGAATTGCTGTAATTTCAGTTGCTTTCTTTCAAGTGGAGAAGAATTTTAAAACAGAGTGATTTTATTCTAACTCTTTACAGTGTTTGTGTTTCTAGGATAGAAACAGTTTTAAATGTAATGATTTCTTTATGAGGGAACTTTTGTTGCCTTTGTCATTATAACTAGGTACAAATTAGTAGCTACAAGGGATGCATTAATTTAAGAAAATTATAATGGTGAAAATGTCACATAGGATCAACCTGAAAAAAGCTGCGTTGGGCTTTGTAGATTCATAGCAGTAATATTAAGGGGTCACCAGGAGTTCTCAATGGTAATGCCATACAGCATGAATGTTATTAATAAATTATCAGTTACCACATGTACCTTCAATAGAAAAACTGAACTAGGATCTGACATGAAGTGAAGGATATTCATTGCAAGTTTTGTTACTGCTTAAGGTAGACTTTCTGTATTAAACTGCCACCTGAGCAATAGACAGTCAAGCAGAACCTTTGTTGCATTTGGTTTTATAATGGCATTCAGCGATCACAGAATCCAATAATAGCTACATCCTTTGAAGAACCTCGAATAGATTTTGCACTGCAGTGTGTATACTCCTCAATTCTTTCTTGTTCACAAATAAATACTTGAGTGGTTGTCTAGGATTTAGAATATATGCAAACTTATTCTATAATTACTAGCAAACAGTGCCTTAAAAGAATGTTATGGGTAGATAGTCAAGCACTCAAAATTAGGAAATGTCATATTAGTGGCAATTCCTTCCCCCTCTTGTACATGTACATTTAATGTACAGGTTCTAATGACAAGATCACATACTATTTTTTCCATGGTACCCCTGCTGTATTCAGTTCAGCAGCTCACTGAATGAACTGCTATTCAATATCTTGTGTTTTAGCATGTGTGGCCCCATGCATTATTTATTATACGTCATTCAAATCCTGGTTGTAATGCAGGATTATCAATTTTCTCCTGGGCTTTTTTGAGATGTTCATCAGTGTAGCATCTGAATGTTTCACAACATTAGTGTTGTCTTCATAACAGAAGGATTGATATTATTCCTGCTTTACAGATGGGTCTTGGAAATGCATAGACATACAAATGGATGCTATTTGGGGTTTCCTATTAGAGATTTCTTATGGCTTGACTTTGTCAGAGAAATCAGAATGTTAACAGTGATTTGTTAATTCAGTACATAGCTCTCATGGACTGTAATTGGAATGGTTCAACTGTAAATCTGGATCTAACCCTCTCAAGTTCCTTAGCTTGGAAACTGAGGAAAATACACATAGTGGCCACTTGTGAAGAGTAGTTTACATCAGTGGTGCTTAATCTTTCAGCTCTGTGGGCTGGATGAGTAGTTTGGGGCCAGTCCAAGAGTCGAATCCCTCACAGGATTGGGCCCCATGCACCCAGATTTGGCTGTGTGCACCCAACCTAGTATGCAAGGCCATGTTTTCAGAGCCCACTGGGCTCCCCATGGGTCCAGAAGTTTGGCAGCAAGGGAGCAGCAGCTAATACTGCCACCACACCCCCACTGCCAAATTTTTCAGATCCTAGAATCATAGAAGTAGGCTCGGAAGGGACCTTGTAGATCTTCAAGTCTGACCCCCTGCCTGGGCAGGAGGAAAACTGGGCTCAAATGACCCCAGCCAGGTAGGCATCAAGCCACTTCTTAAAGACCCCCAGGGTAGAAGCCAGCCCCACTTCCCTTGGAAGTTGGTTCCAGATCCTAGCCGCCCTAACTGAAGTAGTTCTTACAGATGTCTAATCTAAACCTACTCTCCAACAACTTGTGGCCGTTATTCCTTGTTATCCCGGGGGGGCACTGGGGGAAACAAGGTCCCTCCTAGTGAGTTTATAGACGGCCACCAGGTCCCCCCTCAGCCTTCTCTTGTGAAGGCTGAACAGGTTCAGGTCCCGTAGCCTCTCATTGTAGGGTCTCTCCTGCTGTCCCCGGATCATGCGGGTGGCCCTCCTCTGGACCCTCTCAATGTTGTCCACATCCCTCTTGAAGTGGGGTGCCCAGAACTGGACCCAGTACTCTAGCTGCGGCC